TTAGGGTAACTAGTAGTAGAATTCTTCCTTTTTAAGGGCTAATGCTACGTTTTTCGAGATTTTCTTACTATCTATTTCGACGTAGACGCTATTACCGATTAAATAGTCTTTAAAGAATCGTAGGATTAGGGGAGGTACGTTCTAGAAGTCTTCTTCTAACTAGTCAGCGAAATCGGGAGAAACTTCGTTCTATAGCTTGAGGCTTGTAAGATTCCTCTTCTTATAAGTCTTAAGTAGGAAACCTATATAGGAACCTAGTTGCTATAGGCTAGCGTTTATAAGGTCGATTGCCTAGTTGCCTTATACTGCTAGATCGATTATACTTTCGATTCTCTATAAGATAGGGACTATTAATTAGCTTTTAGTAGTAACGCTACTTATAAGCGATCCTTCTTATAAATTTCGCTCTATTCTAATAGTATAAAAGGATTACTTTTATTTAGAATCTTAAATTCTAATCCTTAATAGCGTTAGCTACGATTAGTATAAGATATAGGCTTAGAAGTAGGAGTTAAAAGACGATTCGGGATATTACGATTCTAAGGGGAAAGAATCGTAAAATCAGGGATTTTCGTCGGTTCGTCGTTTATTTCCGTCGGCGCCGTTCTTGCTAATATTCTCGAGGGGTATAAAGGTATATATAGGTCTCGAATTAGTAAGGAGAGAGTTCTACCGTAGATTCTCTCGTAAATCTCTCTTTCTCGCTTCAGGCTTCGCTCCTTACTATTAGGAAGTTTAGAATCTAGTAGATAGTTAGCTTTATAACGCTTATAACTACGTGCGTTTCTCTTAAGCCGTAGCCTCGGAGGCGTATATATATAGCTATATAGGTAGATTACTATTAGTAGTCTTTACTTGCCTTTCGGCGTATTCTTCTTCTAGTAGGGAGGTCTTTTATAATAAGCGCTTCGTAGTTAGTACCTTGTCTAGGGATTTATTAAGAAACTAGCAGGCGCCTCGTAATTAGCACCGCGCGTAGGGGATAGTTATAGTTAGGGAAGTTGTTATCCCTTATAAGATTTGTAAATCTTCGCCTTTATAACGTAAAAAGGTTAGAAGACTATCGATTTGGTAGGTCTCTTCTTTTAGTAATTAAAAACGCGTAATAGAACGCTCTTGCTAGCGATAATTAGCTATAATTAACCTTATCCCGCCTAGGGTAAGCATAGCAGTCCCTAGGTTACTCGAATAATCGGATTGCTAGTAGATTCGAGGAAAAGAAGCTTTCTTCTACTAGTTTCCGTAGATCCTAGTTATTCTCGCTTCTTCTCTCGTTAGTACGAAATCCCTACTTTTACCTAGGCTTAGGTATCTAGTTTAAGAAGTCGTCTCTTCTAGTATTAACCTTGCTAATCTACGGTTTATCCGTAGCAAAGTAGTAATTATAAAGTTAACTAAATTAATAGCAACTATAAGGTTTACTACTAATCAGTATAGGTTTTATAAGGGGTAAAACGGAATTCCGTTTGTTAATAACAAATAATAGTAAATTAGTTCTAATCGATGGTTCATGATAGTTGAAAGTGGTGTTGTTGACTAGAAGGTGGGGATATTCCCCCTTGGCCTGTCACGTGGGTCTGGGAGGCTTGGGCCTCTCAGCCTGGCGGGCGTGTGGCTGGAAGTGCCACACGACTCCGTATTCCAACTATCGCAACACCATCAATCACATCATTCTGATGGGTGGGTTCAAGAGTATCGTAGAGCTTGACAGCCATATTGGAAGAGTTCGTAAATTATTAACAAGCCCTGAAGATTAAGCAAAGAAAATTTGATCTATTACATGTGTCGAATCCCGACTCAATATATATGTATTTTTATTTCTCATTCTATGTTCTAGACTTGCCAAGCGAAATAGAGCGTTTAAACCCATGATAGTACTTGTGGAGGATGTGTTACGGCCAGCTAACTGACAGTGGGTTTGTGTTAACAGTAAGCCAGGGATTGACAACAGTAACAGTCGTTCTGGGGTCTGGTCGATTGAATCGTAGATCTTCAAAGGTCTTGGTGATCAGTCAAGGCCTCAACAAGAGTCGTAGAGTAGTCGTCACTTAGGTATAGCTGAAAGTACCGGTTAGGGTAATCACAAAGTTGATTGCTGAAGAGCTATGGAAGTCTGTCCTCGAGCCCGGCTCGAGTCCATCCTATATACAAGTCCTGAACGGTCCTCCTTATCTTGGCTATGTTGGATATTTGACATATCCAACATATCCAGCCCGGGTTGTCCTTACCCCGCGTTATCCCCGAGGCCACGTGACTTGTCCATAGTTCTTCCGTTCCGAGGATCCCTGGTTACACCTGTCCGGCTGGGTTACATATGCCCTGCGTTAGCCGCCGGGATCCAGGCGGGGTCGTGTTGGCGACCATGTCCAACGGGTCGTAACAGGATGCTACGTTGGTAGTGGGTCTATATGACGGCCCCGACATATTCAAAGAGGCCGAACGACGGCTCGGGACGTAGTAAAGAGCCGAAGACCTTTCAACGCGGGAACCAGGAGACAATTCGGGAATGACCCACCTCCTGGGCACTCACATCTGTCCTGAGAGATATATTGAAAGCCCTGGATGCGATCGCTTTCCCCTGAAATTTGCAGCACTTTAACCGAGACGCAGAGATACAGCCTTGTGACCAAGTTTGACAGTTCGGCTGGGCTCTAACGCAATTGAAACTGACAGATGTCAGCCATTATTGGATGGTGTTGACTCGACTCATATATGCAGCGTGTCATATCACGCTCTGATTGACCGAATGCTCCACTTTCCTATCTTCTCGTGCCCCCTCGAAATACTGCCCATTCCCCACGATCACTCACACTTAATGCTCAACGTTTCTTCCAAACACTCAATAGGCTGCATCAGTCAAGGGACAGTAGCTAGTTCGTGCCTTTAAAGAAATATATTCAGAGAGAACCTGTCATAAACTTCTATCCCATGGAGGGTTAGTTGGCAACAGGTACATGCTGGCCCATTTTCAAGTCCATATTTCTCGAAATACCAATCACGTTATACCTTCGTTCGACAAAGATCATACTTTCAGTATATGGTTGGCTAGTGAACCGCACAAAATGTACCCTGTCGCCAATTAACTCTTGACAGGATAGGCTAGTCATCGGTTGGATAGGACAAAGCCACTGGGTAAAATCAATGAGGTGGCCAACAATATCTGGAAATCGTAGATAGATACCCTGTACAAAAGAATTGTTAACTGGTTTACCATTCAATCATCACAAATAACTGAGTATTTTAGGATCACAGAGGTACCCTTAAAGTGGGATATTCTTCTCAAGGAGCAAAGCTGGTTTGTTCAAATTGTGATTTTCAGGAGAGGTTCCAATCCAAATACTGGCTGAAGTGGTTGCGGAGCTTATATCCGTCCGGATGCAATCACGTGGACAGCCAACAGCCGGCAGTCTCGCTGGTGGCAGGACCACTCCAACTCGGGGTTCCGGCTATTGCAAAGCGTCAGCTCTACAGTTGAATCAAATTTCACACGTTGACATCCGCCATACTTGTAACCTCTATCTGAAGTGCAGCTGAGTCGGATGCATGTTTTTCTCATAGTCACATCTACCAAAAAGCAACATGACTATATTCCTCTTGATGAGAGCTGTACTCTGTCTTGCAGTATGTATGGAAAAGCATGCGATGGAACATCTTCAACGTTTTCGAGTTATGAATCATTTGAGTGCTATTGAGTGGCCTAGCTAATAAATCTTCCCCATTAACGCAAGAACCTTTTACCTTATAATGCCACTGAAAGAAGGTAAGAAAAAGAACTTGTGAGGTGCGGGAAGAACCACAAAACAACACATCATGTCTCTTGTTCGCCGCACTATGTATTCCCCTATGCGCGCCCTAATAGCGACTCACTTTTAATGATCATCGTCTGAAAGTTTCGATGGGCAGATATAAGGCCTTTGTATACCTGACCGGCCCCAAGAAAGATGGACAGTCACATACAATTCCTTGGATCGCGTTTGAGATTTCGGCTTCTTCGTCGTAAGGCAACCTCCAGGGTTGATTTACACGCGTTAACACCTTTCTTGATATGGATTTACACACAAGTTCGCCGCAAAACATGACTCTGAACGTGTTCGATGACTTGTTTGTTGGCCAGGCCTGCGACGAAAGGCTGTATTTCTAACGAGGATTCCAACTTTTTAAGCATATTGTCTGCGTTCATTTACAGTTTCGTTATCAGTATAGAAACTTTACTTGCCAAAGGTTAAGTTACTGGGGATTGGATATGCTTTGTTGATCCCCACCCCTTAGTGCTGTGCGTCAAGTCTTTTTTCTGGAGCCCTGCCACCTATCGGAATTATAGCACCTCATTTCGAACTAACAATGCAATCAGCCTCAAAATACTACTAGGTATTAAAATTCAGTGTGGGTCAAGGTATGACCATTCCGTAAAACGGGGCATGTATTCAATCCGTACATTTTCATGATGTACCCCGTATTGAACCAACGGGGTTGGCATCCTCCCAACGAGACATTTGAATAAACACCTTTCCATTCCTTTAGAGGATCTTTTAGTAACATGCCACAAAACTCAGTCAATCAGCTGGTTGGCGATAAGACCGGATAATAAGGGCTGTATGGAATGGAGATAACCATACCTTTCGCCCTAACATAACCTCGCTCAACCTAAAGCGGCGAGTATTATAAGTAGTTGAACGACTTGGTGACCAATTACTCTGAAGCTTCCAAGTCATTTGAAAGTGAAGTGGGGAGCCACAGCATTGAAGCAGTTATGTGGCCTGATCAAAAGAACAGAAGCTGAGAGAACTCGCAAGCACAAAATGCTTCAACCTAAGCTGTAGTGAGAATGAATCAAAGGCACAAGTGGGTTGTCACGTTTCTTATCAAAACAACTGGAAAACTGGCGTGCACCTATGATCCATTCTTGCATCGACAGGGAAAATTTGGAACTTTTCTGCAAAAGTGTTATGTAGAGATTGCGTTACAGCCACGGCAAAGAATAAAACAAAAAGCAAGAGTAACTATATTGGGTCTTCGTAAGCCTCAAAACGGAAATTCCATGTTCCTTTCCTTAATCCACCTCCTGTAGATGAACTCATCCTGCCAATGTGTTGTAAAACACTTGGCACCAGCGCCCATTTTGACAATAACTGATCGTTGGCCCACCGCTCAATGATCTGATCTGGAAACAGAGTGGTTTCTGGTGGGTTGCGAAGCTGGTTTGACATTGCTCGAAGATGTCTTTTGGGGAATACCAGACCTTGGGAGCAGCAACCGTATGATGGCATCGGCTGCAATCCTGGACTCATTGGCTGGACTGACAATCTACCAGCGAGGAAGTACAACGCAACCATGAAGGGCATCCATAGCCCCAAAACCGCCAAGTATAAGCGACCGAAAGGGTTTGACGGTCGAAAGAGGTATTGAGGCCGCGCCTTGGTGTAGAATCTGGTGGCAAAAACAACTAGAGCAGCTGCCACAGCTGCGACTACAGCGAAGCCCAGCACTGCCCAGCTCAAGTAGATGGGCCACTCTTCGTTATTCCATCCGAGGAAAGTCTCTGAATAGAACAGGCGGAGGTACAGCCAATCATTCTCTCCTTCCTGATATTTTGTCTCGAGTGTCTTGGCAGCCCTTGTCGCTCGGTCGTACCAGTCCCGCGATGCGATTACGTCGTCTTCGATTAGGGCAAAGAAGGGTGCTCGGGAGTCGTAGCAGGCGTCGAACAAATGTGCGAAATCATATGCGGACTTTTGCTGTTTGACTAATTTCGGAAGAAGGGAACCGCGACTGGTGTCTTCATCGGCGGAAGAATAGTTCGCCGTCTTGGTTCGGTTGAAAGACCCATCGTAAACCAGGACTTTGTCTACTAGTAGCCGAAGCCATTGCTCGTTGTAGGAAGGATGATGCTGCGGAAACTCATCGACAATCAGGACCGTAATATAGAGGGAATTGCGTTCTGCCAAAGTCAAGCTGTCGACAAGCGAAGCCAGAGTTTGAGGGAGATACTGTTCCGTTCGTTGGCCCCATGTCGGAATTCCAATACACAACTTTGGTGAAAGGTTTGTTGTCTCGGGGATGGCTTGAAAGGCTGGTTTGATCGTGTCCTCTTGGCCGGATAAAACTTCCGTTCCCTTGATAATGTCGAGAAACTGGAGGGCTTCCCTTACTCTAACATCGGAAAACTTGGGCACGTATGCTCTGTCGGGGTCGAAGAAATAGGAACTCGGATCTGCATAGTTGCTCTTCCGGCAATATAGCAACAGTAGAAGGTAGAAGAGAAAAAAGGACAAGTTAAGATATCGTATTTTCATTGTCAAGGACTATTTCCTTTTACCCGTTCTTCGATATAGACAGGAGTATGGCGAGTCTGAGGCTTATTTTGAAGCATTCATACTTGACAGCAAGGACACTACTTTCTAACTTGAAACTTCGCCAGTTGGTGATATGTCCTACATCCTTGGCATAGCCACATCCTCGATTAATGTTATGTTGGGTATATCGCCCCGGATATGTGCGAAAAGCAAACGGAACGCCTCGCCGATACGAGGTTGTGGCAGCTATGATGCGAGACGTCTCCAACAAAAGACTGCTTGAGCCATACAGAGCATCAAGAATGTTGGTGCCTGGAGCGTCTTTGCATCGCTTATTAACGCGTTAGCGGGTTTCTGGAGTAATTGGTTCCCGCCGCTTGGGCTATGTTGACGGACTTCCGCCGCCGATCATGTTGGTGGAGGCTAAATGGGCCATTATCGTATTGTTTTGGCCCAATTAGGTAGTTGTGTTTTCGGAAACCCGTGTAAAATTGCCGAAATCGCTTGGCAGCCGTCGAGCAGAAGCTTGTTTCTGCGATGATTTGCTTCTTTTTCTTGCTTTGGAAAAGATGTAATGTCATCTCGTCGAGGCCAAGTTATAACGAAGAGTTTGATCAGGTTCAGGTATAAATGGGAACCCCTGTTACTGCCAACGCCACAAACCTATTCAAACTCATTCTTGAACTGATTAGCTTCATTGTCTGTGACTAAACGAAGATGCTGAACTCACGAAGACTTGATAATGTAAGACAAGTAGTGCGAGATTGCAAGGTAGTTCCTGCTGTCGCTATCAGTTGTTATACCTATGTTTTCAAACCCCTTCAGTAATCTGCAGCTATTTTCACTAAAGCCAATGTTAAAAACGAAACAAATTTTTTCAAATGGCCTGAGGTGCATTGAAGCGTTGGAAGATTACCATGCCTGTATGTTGGTGCAAAATGCAATGTCCAGCAGAGAACAGTGGAGAAGGTGGATAGCCTGCAGCGTGCCCTTTCTGGCCATGCAGCAGCATCATGGCCCTATTCCAGAAAGCTCGGACACCTGTAACAAGGCCTTTCCAGCGTGCGAAGCGGACACTGACGCTATGTGTTTAATAGTGGCTCTTGTTCAACATCTCACCCCAAACACAGCTTGTTAGTTCGGAGTAGAACTGGTGATGGGATCTTTGCAGGGAAGTCTTAGATGGACGGCTGTGTTGTTCGATGAAATTCGACTAAGTGCTTAGTAGGAGGTCGAATGCCCTAATAGTTCGTCCCCTGTGTTATAGCAATCGAACATCAAGGGCAACAGACTGGGTTCTCTGTGATTGATACTTCAACCAAACAATATTAACTGGCCAAGTCCTGAGAGAATTCATAGTTGGTTTTGATCCACAACTACTCCAATAGAAACGGCACTTGGAAGACAGTCACAGGAGACGCGCCCTACATATGGTGGTCGAGATGCCGCCAAGGCAGCGATCGTCTCCCCAATAAGACGTTTGATGTGCGAACTGTAAACATCGCTAGAACATTAGAACCTTTAAGAACTTTATGAACTGAAAGTGAGGCGACCTACATCGCCATTTATCTCCGAAGTGCGATGCTCGCCTCCGATCCCGGTTTCTGTACACGTGTAAAACCAAGAAGCCAAGCCGTTAAAGGTCCAGTTATCATCTGAACATCTCCACCACGGGCCCGTTCAGTCGGTCCGTTGAATTCAGCGACGCTATGATAGAGCCCAGTATTCAATCGGACCGTTCTGCTGTCGCTCAAACTCGCGCTGCGGGGAGCGGACGCGTTTCCTGGGGCCCCGGGCACAACGCCGACATTGGCGGCCAAGCAACCCGGGGCCTCCGGAGTGGAAACACCGGGGACAATAGCGAGGCTGCGACATTTAATGCGACAAGATGGCAGTTGGGTGGATATGCGAAAACGATATTTTGACAGTTGGAACTACTGGCTGGATGTGTTTACTACTGCAGCGATCTGGGGAAAAGCATCGAATCGTAATCTGGGGATGTCCAGAGTGGGAAAGTCTCGATACTGGATCAACGTCATATCCACTTCGCCCGCATTTGGCCAGTACCTTTGCTTTGATCGCCATAGGCTGGAAGTTCTCCCTACATACTGGTTCCCCTTTTGACGGGAGCGGTATTTTCTGTAGTAGTTGGTATTTTCTGGGCATCCGCCCTTCACCCCCAACTTCGGGCAACTTGAGTTTCATAGACTTGGAACGCCTAGTGACATTATCAATGAGCAGCCCTTGGAGCTCTGACAGTGACCCGCAGCCTTGAAGCTCTAGACGTACACATTGGGGCTTTTGGTTGCTGGTTTGCGTAAGCAAACTTGCCTCAAGGCTTTAACGGTGGCTTGGTTCTCCAATAAGACGAGCACAAGTTCAAGTAGGCCGTTGGCTGACTCGCACGTGAGGATCTTGCGATCGTCATCACTTCATTCTAGATCCCGGTCCATTTAGGAAGAGGTGGTGTTGCACAGTCGGCCCCATCGTGCCGGAGCCGCCTTGCAAAAGCGCAAAGTTGCAAGTAGATATACAGAAAATTTGCAGCGGATTTAGAAGAAAAGTGTGGTCGCGTGGGAGTCCGCTCCCTCACCGTGGTTTTTACCTTGGCAGCATGCTGAAGTGTGCTTGGCTGTACAAAAGCTGATTCCGTGTGCCATGGCTCGCTTACCCCTGCGGCGCTGCCGGTAATGACGAGAGCCAAGCGGTTGATCCTCAAGCCACACTCCCCGTCCATCCAACCAGTTGCTGACACCGTAAGCTCGATGAACTAATGCTTTTTTTTCGGGGCCAGTCGTCGCCTATTTGACATGCTTGACTTGTGTAGACTGTGACGACGATTCAGCCAACAGCGTCGCCTGATGGTTAGGATCAAATCCATCCAGATCTTCCGCCTGCTGGTCGCATCCGCCCATGGCGGTACACGGAATGTAGAATAGTCCGCTGGCTTTCCCCGGATTATGGTTGCTTGATGGTCTCGGCCTCTCGCGTGGCGTCTTGTCTGAACACGCCCCCCGGATCGTGCTCCTATCATGAGATGAGAAGAGGCCGGGATGTACTCCGTACACTACCCCGTACACCCCCTGCCCCCGCCCTCGGCGTCCGATTTTGAATCTTTCCACACCTTCTTGGCTCTCTCAACCTTCCTGGTCTGCGCCCCAGAGACAAGAGTAGGTAGGACCGATTCCGACTCAGTCAGTTTTCTGGGCAACGTCATGGTAGCGTTCTCGTCAGTCTCTGGCTCTCAGGTGACTTTGATCGTCCGCCACGGCAGCGCTGCAGGATGTGACTGCGCATAAAGCCATCATGGTGCGTCGGAAGAAGAACGCAGGACGTCATTCAGGGTGATACAGCTGAATTGGTTGTTTTCCATTTGGGCCTTTTCTTTATATTTCGAAGCATCCCAATTGTTCGCGTCAGTTAAAGCTACCCAAACACTGGGCTGCGACTTTTTCGCTTCGTCGACCGCCTTCACTGCTTACTACCCGGACTTCTGTATTATACCTTACCTTACCTTGGGTGGTACCAAGGCGCGTCGCAATCATGGGTTTAGGGAAACAGTAAGGACACCCAGCAACCGTACACTTTTCTTTTTTTTTTTTTTCCGAGCGCAACACAAGCTAACACATTGCCTAGGTCCATACGCATCAATGGAGCCGACTGCGGTATCGAATCGCTCGTGCTTGGTGTGGTGACCAGCATCGGCGGTTTCCTTTTCGGCTATGACACTGGTCAAATTTCAAGTATGCTCCTCTTTACCGACTTCAGAAGACGATTCGCAACTGGCCCTGAAGAGAATGGAGTTCCAACATGGGTTTCAATTATCCAGTCTCTCATGGTGTCGTTGATGAGCATCGGCACACTTATTGGAGCTCTTTCTGGAGCCTATACGGCTGACTGGTGGGGCCGCCGAAGGAGTTTGAGCTTTGGTGTCTGTATTTTCATCATTGGAAACATCATCCAGATCACTGCTATGAACACTTGGGTCCATATGATGATGGGTCGATTTGTGGCTGGTTTGGGCGTGGGTAACCTCTCTGTCGGTGTGCCCATGTTCCAGTCGGAGTGCTCGCCAAAGGAAATTCGAGGTGCTGTCGTCGCTTCATACCAGCTGATGATTACCTTTGGTATTCTCATTTCCAACCTCATCAACTTTGGTGTACGCAACATCCAGGAGTCGGACGCTTCATGGCGCATCGTCATCGGTCTCGGAATCGCCTTTTCCTTGCCCTTGGGAATTGGCATTCTTGTGGTACCCGAGTCTCCTCGCTGGCTAGCCGGTCGACATGACTGGGAGGGTGCGCGACTTGCCATGGCGCGTCTCCGCGGCATGAAGCATGACCCTCATAACGAACTAGTTGAAACAGATTTGCAGGAAATGTTCAAGGTCCTCGAGGAAGAATCCAAGACTGGAACGGGAACCTGGGTCGAATGTTTCACTGGTTCTTCTGGCATTCCTAAGACAGTTTATCGCACGCTCCTCGGCGTTGGCATTCACTTCCTGCAGCAGTGGACGGGAGTCAACTACTTTGTAAGCACCCGGCTATTATACCACACCCCTTGTTACAAGCATCTCTAACCGGAAATTCTTAGTTCTACTACGGTGCCACAATCTTTGAGTCGGCCGGTGTTGATGACCCGATCATGACTCAACTCATTCTTGGAGCTGTCAATGTTGCGCTCACCTTTTACGGACTTTACGTCGTCGAGAAGTACGGCCGGCGCTGGCCTTTGTTCATCGGTGCTCTGTGGCAAGCTGCTTGGCTTACTGTCTTTGCTGCCGTCGGCACAGCCGTTCCCCCTGACACCAGCCGCACTACCGGTATTGTCATGATTGTATCAGCATGCATGTTCATCGCTTCTTTTGCAGGTGTAAGTTGTCATTCATCTCACTTGAAGGCCTTCAGCAGCCTGTTACAGATCTTATCCTGACAATTCGCAGACTTGGGGACCTATGGCTTGGTGTGTTATTGGAGAACTGTTCCCATTGCGGACGAGAGCAAAGCAAGCTTCTCTCGCGACGGCTGGCAATTGGCTCGGCAACTTCCTCATCTCTTTCCTCACGCCTCTTGCCGATGAAGGCATCTCTTACGCATATGGATTCGTCTTCGCCGGTTGCAACTTGGCAGGAGCTCTTCTCGTCTGGTTCTTCCTCTACGAATCCAAGGGACTGTCTCTTGAAAATGTGGACAGAATGTACAGCGATCCGCATGTCAAGCCTTGGACTTCTAACAGCTGGGTGCCCCCTGGTTACATCACTCGCAAGCAGAAGGACGAAACTGCCTTCCACCGTGGATCTACCACCACAGAGCACACTGCTGTTGGAGAAACCCAGCCGAAGGAGAAGGGCGGCGAGGAAAGGCCGTATTCCGAGCACCACTACCAAAAGACTGAGTCGACTTCCAGTGCAGTTTGATGGCACATGTAAGCGGCTATTGAAACTATGAGCCGTACAGTTTGGGGTTTGGGAGACACGATTGGAATACCCGCGGTGGATTGTACATGTATTTGTAGTTGATGCATCTAATGATAATGCAAAAAGGTACTATCATCATTTTTTCCCGAGAGTATTGTAACTCTTTGACATTCTTTATGTGCCGTCATTCATACATCTTCGTAATTTGTGGATTTCATTTTGTGTTGAGTATTCATTTACCTATTTCACACTTTTTACTGAGAGTTGCCTGTGCGCATAAAGATATTCGACGGCCTGTCACGGTTCGCAAATTCCTCATCAACAACGTACTCGATCTCCGGTCCCTCCTGTTTGAAGCCCAGCTTTGAGTAAACATGTCTACCCATGGCAGATCCCTCAAGAATGCACTCAATTCCGCCTCTTCGTTGGGCCTCTTCCAGACCCCACTGCACCAGCTTCTTGGCAGCGCCTCTGCCTTGGAATTTCGGATCCACGGCGCACAGGTCCAGAACGAAAACAGCCGGAGGGCTCTTTGTCGCCGTCTGCTTGATGACCTCGGCACGCTGCTTCTGAAGCGAAGCAATGCACTGTGCAAGATACCGCTGCTCAGCCTCATTTCCGGGGTAAAGCGACTCGAGTCCGAGAGCCTTCTTCAGATCCGTCGGCTGCGGCTCGCCGTGTCCTTCGACAGCCGAGGCTTGCATCCAAATGGCCAGACCAGCAATCCGACGCTGTGCGCTGTTCTCCGGGTCTGGAACAGTCGCCTTGAGGAAAATCGTGTTCGGCCGACCATTTACGTCCTTGGATACCGAACGCCAGCGCTTCGCGAGACGCTCGCCGCTGGCTGCGACTCCCTCCGGAGTGTCCCAGCCGGGTGTCATGGCAATGTACACTCCATCGTGTACCTGGTGACCGAAGGCATTGATAGCAACCTCGGCAGCCTGGTGGAAATCCTCGGGTTGAGTGATGACTTCGATGAGAACGTCCGAAGGAGCACTGCTACCCATGATGGCTTGCTTGGGTAATCGTAAAGAAGCTGAATAGGTTGAACTATGAGACCAGTGTGTCCAGGGTATGTTTGATTGTTGGGAGCGAGGTGGACGATAGACTAGAGTGAGAGGTAGCTGCTGGTTTGAGTGATATTTGATTCGGTGGAGATTTAAGCAAAGACAAGTGTCTTTAAGGAGCTCGAAGTAGCATAACGCCAAGCCAGTATGAGTAGTTACCAATGTCTCCGCGATGCGGCCCACTGAACTCCGCATTTCGGGCACATGAGCACGATTTTTGGTAATAAAATCAATCGGCGGGCTTTGGGACGTCAGCTTGGGGGGCGTAAAGCTGCAGCTAGTGGCTAGTTTAGATTCAAGTGACAAACTTGATTAACTAGGAATTCTACTAAATTCGAAAGATGTCCACGCACTTTTCATACTGAATGTTAACGACGATATCTAACTATCTTAAACATGATCGACCGGAGAACGGGCACCAGCGCGATAGAGTCAATAGTAGTTCAAGGAATGCAAATACTGAGCCGTTGCACGTAACTCAACGTAAATTCTCATCTCTTTCTCAGACATTGATGTCGGAGCCTGGCTCAAATCTCTTTTTTTTTTTTTTTAAACTTCTGAAGCTCTAATTCTCATAGAGATGGCGGAAGTGATTGAACTCATAACCTCAGTACTTCAACGCAAGAAAACAAGCCTATTCCTTATTTGTGTCGCCTGTGCTACGCTTCCCATGAATAACAATGTGCCGCATTTGCTGGTTTGAATCTTATTTACTCATACTCGGGAAAGATCGGAACAGAGATTCATGTTTACTATCGTCCGCACTCTTGACATCTTCTATTTTTCAACCAGAGCAAAACTTACAGTTGCACTAGCCTGCAGAGCCAGATAGAGGCTGGTACGGCTGTAATGTCAGCTACATCAATAATTGAAAAAGAGAACACCGTTAAAGATGCCCATTTACCGCTTGAACGTTCTCTATTAGAAATTTGAGAAACTCATCTCAGTTTAACTAGAAAAGAAAGCATTTCATACCCATCATATGTATCTTTGGCAATAATCGGGTGTTTTGATACTGGGATCCATTCCCTGCTGGCGGGTAAGTACCCAAACCCAAGTATCAACATACAACAAGGGTGGCTCTCCGCCCTGTTTCGATGACTCTTTCAGCAAAGAGGCTATTATCACAGTATTTACTGGTTTAGTAAAGCTTGTTTCCGCACACAAGCTTCAAAATCAATGATATGTCAACCATCTGAGACACCAGCTCTTAGTGTCTAGCAATTACCAGAGTTCGTACCAAATGAGCCACCAAATACTCAATCCTTCTTCAACGCCAGAGTGTGATCTTCAAGAAACTTTTTAACATCCACAAACCTGAAAGGTGCTCAACAGGATACATAGCCACTCCCATACAACAAAATGGTTCAGCTTCGAAAGACACTGAAGAAAATCCCTGGCACTCTTTACCATAGCAATCTCTACCTTTCTCCCCTCGAAGAGTATAGATAATGTAGCATCACTATCGTTATTCTATAGCATTGCTCCGAAGCGCAATTACCATCCGTTAATTTCTGATGTCATTTGATTGCATTTTACGGTAGTAGGTTCGGAATCTTACTTCCAACAATGTCCTCCGCTGCCAAATCCGACTGTGGTCCACAGTGAAGATGAGATCAAGCAGACGGTGCAATAACTAGAAAAGTAGCTGCCGCAAGACCACAAGCTGCCATCCAAGGGTTATCAACACAAAAGGGGGGACACGGGAGAGCCCGTTGTCTTTCATGACTGTCTTTATGGAAATATTCTTGCTTTTTGTCTGGCTTTCTAGTAGCCAGCTTTGAAACAGTAGGTGGTTGCCTAGCTTTCGGGCTTGAAGACCGTTTTTTATTTTCTTTTGCCATTGTATTTTTGCAGCTCTGAATCATCTTTTAGTCGATGAGTTGGTATCAGATCATTAGTAAAATTTACTACCAAGTCACGATTATTCGTTTAAGCCTTTCAATCGCCGTTGGAATCCATTATAGCAATTTCAAGGCTCACTCAATCTCCTACATTGCGTCGTATCGTCAATAATTGACAGCTTTTTGATACCACGATGCTGTATAACCAATTCTCAGGGCTGGTCCTTCAAATTGCTTTATAGCCATTTGCTAATTTTTGTCCAAGAATTCCCTTCTCGGTTCACTTCCTTAAGAATTTAGTGATAAGCGGCTTCCATCTCTCTTATAAATGTAGTCGAGTCCAATTTTTTGAATGACTTATGTAGATCTTTAATTGAAGTAGCGTAATGGTGATTGGCTTTCTGGGAAGCTCCTAGGCGCTTAGAGAGACTTTGTGGCCAATAAGAATGACTTCGAGCCGACAACCAGGTTGGAAGGTCTCACCCCGGCGTCACATTAAGGGCGAGTTCCGGCCGTTAGTGATTGGATGGGGGGCCAGTGTCTGCTGACCCCTTCCCTCAGCCTTATTCTACTTCTCCTCGCATAACTGCTGCATTCTGTTTGTTTTGTCAAGACACCTTTTTATTCTCTTGCTTCGGGTAAGAGGTCCAACCGTCTTTGAAGTTATCTTTTTCTCGCTATCTGGTTGAAACTATTGTCTACCTGCGGCAATGACCAAATGCCTGTTCGTTTCGCATAACTAGTCAGTTCTTGACCCGGAAACAAGATTTGTGTCAACAGCAATCATCACTTTCTACGTAGCTAGCAGACCCTCAGGTCTTCACTTACACGTTCAATATCTTCCACGTGAAAAGGCTGTGGCAGGCCACTACTCTGATTGCAATGTCAGACCGAGTCTCCGAGGCTCGCTCCACCGCTCAAGCTGGTCGCCCGTCCTTACGGACTCAATCGGCTGAGCGCAAGTTGACTAGGTTCTACGTCAATGTAGTATTCCTGTTTTTTGAAATTGTAAAAAGCTTACACAAAGCGTCTCCGGGAGACGATGGCCATCTAAGGTGCACTTACCCTAAATTTCTTTACGATGACATTTGTGCTAACTTTATGGGCCGTAGTATGGATATTACTAATACCCATGAGGAACTAAACGCAATTCTCAACAAAGAGTCTAGATGGCTGCATCCCCAGACCCAATCCGATATGGATCGCCGGATTGCTGCCCTCGATAGCTCTCCCACCTGCCAGACCTTGCCTGAAAATAGAGCGTTTGGCGGAAGGCGCGACTTGTTCGCCAAGCCAGAGTTGTGCAACGAGCTCTCAACAATTACTTTGAGCCACACGATTTCCAAAGACAACACGGCGGGTGATGCATTTCGACAAGACTGTTTGCTAGGGTACTTGGGCCAAAAGTTGTGGCGACGTTCTCACTTTACTTCAATTTCGTCCCCTCGATTAGAGCCGCCACCACTTCCTATTCAGCCGATTGCTGCTAAAGACTATCACCGATTTCTCCCAGCAGAAGCAACAGTCGACCCGGAGCCGGTACCTAGGCTAGTTTCATCAAAACAGGAATGGGATTTTCACAAAGAAACACTTCGCCAACTCTATGTGTCAAAGGGAAATACTCTTTAAGAAATTAGAACCATCATGTCCAAAAAACACTCATTTTTCGCAACGTAAGGCTACATTGATAATGAATGGAAATGAAAACTTGCTAGCAAAGCAAAACAGGTACTGAATGTATTAAAAACAGTTTATGCATTGGCAGTGGAAAAAATACACCACCCAAGGTCCCAAGGAACAAGCCTCTACCAAGTCCAATTCCGATGAATCCGAGGAGGATGATTTCAGGCAGGGGCAGCCCTGGAAACAGCCCAACTACGCCCCCGACCCGACTTGGAATGCAGTGAAGCAACACCGGCAGTTAGTGGTCGAGCTAACAACAACACGAGAAGAGCTGGGCGCAACGGGCAGCCAAGACGAGTTCACTCAGTGGACGAAGTTGCGTTGCATGCATAATTAATTTGCTGGGCCAACTTGGGAAGAGGATTGCATGACATTAATCAAAAGACAGCGATATGTCATACATGTCATACAAGTAGACGCAATTGAAAAGTCGCGGTGGTATCAAGAGAATAATTCTTGGCATTCATTGTATGTAGTTAGAAATCAAATGCAGAACACAATGATCGTACATGATAAGCTTTCCTCCATTCCGTCAACTTGCCTGCTGGGACAGCATACGTTTAATACTCGTGTTCATCGCGTTTACATGGACGCCCTCCTTTTCAGAGTAGGTTTTGCGGGTATGTGGTTTGGCGTCGTTGGCGGATTGGGTACTACAACACGATGGATGGAGGCAGCACTACGTTGGAAAGGAATTAAACTACAGTGATGTGTGCATCTTGTGGCAGTTTCAAGTAACTCCCAAATTTAACTACATATCCTACCGACTACGGCTAGGCTACAACCACCTGCATAGTTAGTATCCAACAAGTAACAGACAATGTGAGCTTCTTTCTAGTCTCATTCCTATTATCCACGGACTCTGTAGAAACATTGACCGCTTTGTGCCTGTAAACCAGCCGCAGTCGATGGGATATGTGTTTGTGTGTGAGACCCTGTAGCAGATTTCGGCGCGGACAATCTAACCTTGTACCACTAACCTCTTCCTACCTTAAGATGATAAATTCAATATTTTAACACACCAGAGTTATGCCTCGAAACTTCACTCTTATTGAAATCATCTAGTTGCGTCGTGATCTTTTTCTTTCAATGAATTGTGTGTTAAATCATGTATGAAAGACTCCCTGTGATGCCCTGTGTACTACACCGTCCATACCAAGAAGGAATGATGTTCTATGCTATTTTGTTATACTCAGTAAGCATCAGTCGCATGGACTACCATGTGAGTTGTGGGATTTTGGATAAATATCGGAAACCACTCGCGTGACTTCAGACTCCGGAGACCCTCCGCTTGCTCGGACATCTTCCGTAACACCAGTCCTGATCCGGACACAGTCCGGGCGTTCAGTGGCTCACAGGCTCTGTCGGCTCTTCAGTGAAAATCATAGGGAGTTCCACAGGAACCAACCAAACCCAGAAAAAGAACAAGCTTCTTCTGTTTTACCCAATATTCCATCGCTCAACCCCAACGACTGTGCTCAACTTGCCAGGCGACTATTACCTCAGCCATGACCGCTCTTTCAATTCCTCCTGGGGCTTGGAACTGTCATATGCATTGCTTCGACCCAGAGCGCCATCCTTTCAAAGCAAATCGCGCGTACACCCCAGAACCCGCAAGAGCAAATGAGCTTGTCCGGAACGCCTTGACTGACAAGATAATGCTGGTTCAAGCAACAATTGAAAATGGATACGCAGGGCTTTTAGAGAACATGAAGCTCTGTCGAGACTCACATCCAGACAAAAATGTCTTTGGGACAATTTTCTGGGATGTAGAATCGGAACCAAAGTCGAGCCTGGGTACATTGACAGATCCCCAGTTTGATGAACTCCATGATGCCGGGGTGCGGTCTGTTCGTATTCATGGTTCCTACGGAGGTTCGGGAGAAGATTTGGACTGGGTGCGCAAACAGTTTTTGGACGTTGCCAGACGATGCCCAGTTCGAAGACACAACTGGAGTATCTCAGCTCAGCTGCCGTTAGCAACTTGGTCGTCCTTGGCAGATACATTGTTGAGCCATCCGATTCTTGAAGGCGTCTCAATTATTGCTGACCATAACGGCTGTGCTACAACATCTGATATTAGCAGTGCTGAGCTGAGTAGTTTTATCCGCCTCCTACAGTCCGGAAGATTCTACGTCAAGATCGGAGCACTTCATAGGCGGTCTCCTGCAGACATAACACTGATGCGCCCGGTAATCGAAGCTTTTGCCGACAGTGCACCACACGCCATATTGTGGGGGAGCGACTGGCCCCATTGCAATGCCAGCATCCGTGGTCTTAAACCCACGCGTCCTTTGGAGGTGGACACGAACGCAGAGTTAACTGCGCTGCAAGAGTGGCTTACCCCAGAGCAGTGGATCAAATTGCTCGTCGTCAACCCAGCGCGGGTGTTCGGCACCAGTGAGAGTTAGAGATGGGGAAAACCTGGGGTTGAAATGGAGAAAAAGGGGGGTTTCGGATCGGCTCCGGACCGAACTGAATTAGCCTGGGCTCATCTAGAAAATTAGCAGCAATGCGAGAGAGGGTAGTTAAACATCTAACAAAGGACTAAATCTAGAGCCAAGAAAACTCATAAATGCAAGCTTTTCGATCCAGCGACTCTCTTTGCTTGTTTCGACGCCTCTCGTCCATCCCTAGCGGTAATATCTGAGATCATTTCCTTTCACAGCATCATCATCGTCGTTGAGCACTCTGGCAATGGCTATCAACAAAATTCCAACAGGCCAGTTGGAAGAGGTGGACAAGCAAACAGGAGAAGAGGTTGAAAATGCGCCAACGAAGAATCCGACTTTGATGGACACTTATCGGTCATACTCCCCCGAGTTTTCGAAAGAAACAGAGAAACGACTACTTCGCAAAATCGACACACACCTGTTGCCACTTCTCGTCACCATTTACCTGTTCAATTATCTTGATCGAAACTCCATCACCCAAGCCCGCCTCTATGGCCTTCAAGAAGATACGCATGTCAAGGGTGCCACGTATCAAACAGCCATCTCGATCTTCTCGGTGGGATACATTGCTATGCAACTCCCATCTACGCTTCTTATGACCAAAGTGCAACCGCACATCTTCCTCGTTAGTGCCCCGTCTCCCCTGCCGGACTACAGTCTGAACATATTTAGCCTGGGTGCATCATTATTTGGGCCTTTGTCAGCGGCTGTACGAGCGCCACCTCCTCCCCCGCCGGTCTCCTCACCATAAGATTCTTCCTAGGAATTGTGGAAGCCCCCTTCTTCCCAGGTGCCATCTACTACATGAGCTGTTGGTACACCAAGAAAGAGTTAGGCTTGCGCATGGCACTCCTAGTGTGTGGATTGTTGCTTTCCAATTGCTTTGCAGGTCTCATCTCGGCCGGTATTCTTTCTGGGATGGCGGGCGTAGGTCACTTAGCTGCTTGGAGGTGGCTTTTCATTCTTGAAGGTCTCGCTACAATGGTGGTTGGAGTCGTCGCCTTTTTCATGTTACCTGATTATCCAGGGACAACAAAATGGCTGTCTGAAGAAGAAAAAGTAGTGGCCCAGGGACGACTGGCGGCTGATGCTGGCAGTGAAGAAGTTCTAGGCGAAGATGAGATCTCGATGAAACAGGCCATCTTCGCGGCGTTGGGAGACTATCGAGTTTGGCTATTCGCTTGTCTCCAAATGTCGACCACAGCATCGATTTCATTTTCACACTTCTTCCCCACCTTGATTCAGCAGTTGGGCTTCAAAAACAACACCATAGTCCTTCTCCTCACGGCGCCTCCCTACCTTTTCTCCTTCATCTGGGCGTTATCTTTTGCTTGGGATGCAGACAGACGACAAAAGCGATCGCCACATGCCAGTATCTCTGCCATCATGGCCATCGCCGGCACAGTTTCACTCGTCGCCATGGGCGATCAACGCTGGCCACGATATGCCATGACGTTTCTTGTTTGTGCAGGAACATTTGGGATTTATTCTACAACCTATCCTTGGTTGTCCTCGACAATCGTGCAACCTGCCGTCAAAAGGGCTGCAGCGATTGGAATTGCCAATACCCTCGCGAACAGTGCTTCCTTATTCGCAAACTACTTTTGGCTGGATCATTATGGACCCAGTTTCCGCGTATCTTGGGCCTGTATCCTGGCATTTCAAGTGCTTGGTTTGACTTGTATAACTGGCCTCCGTTTATGCCTCAAGAAAGCCAACCGCAGATTTGAGACGCTGTGTGACCAAATCGACCCAAATAACGAAGATGCCTTGAACAGGCTTGATAAGGACTCGCAGAGGGCTGTTCTGAATGGTTTCAAGTACATTACCTAGATAGAAGATGCTTCTGAACTGACTGATGCGATTTTATTGAGATATTCCTTGCAGCCATCGTAATATGAACGCTCAATGACTCCAAGGAACATCGAGGGAACACATTACTTGTAATAGAAATTTCATCTCTTATTACGCACACGAGACTTTATTCCACCACCATATAATATGATGTAGCCGAAATATTAGATGCTTTGGAGTTTCTTTGATTTCCACCAAGTGCTGAACTATCCTATGACTTTACGTTGCAGACTCAGACTTGCGGTGATTATAATAAACTTTGGCTTTACCGTAAATTATTCACTCTTATTCATAACACATGTAATTTGTACCTATTACTTAAAATCAACAGCTGGCTAGTTAACCATAATTTCTATGGCTGTGATTGCCATGACGTAACCCAGAAATCACAAGTAGACGACTAGCTGTTTGAAAGCAAGATTCCTGACATACTTTCTATACCAATCGAAATAATTGATGGCGAATACCTGGATCTGAAAGCTCAATTCAATAAGAGCTGAAGAAAACATATAGTTGCAATAGCTTACTGTGACGCGAAATGGACAGATCAGCATCACTTAGACATCAATAAGCATGTCACAAAGTTCATCCAGTATTCTGTCGACCATTGAAAATCAAATTGAACCAAACCCTAACAATCTAAAAATACACAAACAGCAAATCCTCTAAACCAGAACCGAATCAAACCGCCAATCAAGCACCAATGGAGAACTCCTTCACGATCTGGCACTTGGGGGCGTTGCCAGTGGCGTCGTACTCGCAGCGCTCGCCCTTCAGAGTTGAAGCCATGCCTCTCTTCTCAGCAACGCGGGCACTGCGGTCGGAGTTGCGGCGGGCCTGGAGTCCGGAACGCTTGCTGGAAGTCTTGGGGGTGACATCAGTGAAAGCGCCCTTGGCAGAGTCCCAAAGCTTGTTGTCAGAAGTGATGAAGGGAGCACCGGCGAACTTGGCGAGTTCTCCACCCTTCTCCTTGAAAAAGTCTGCGGCTTCCTCGACGCAAGGAACAGTGTCGATGGTCTCGTTCTTGTGGGAAAAGGAGCGTTTCGCAGCGTAAGACTCCTTGCAGTCATTCTTGTTGGTAATCTTGCCGACGTTGTCACTGATGAAACCGCAAGCTTGCTGGAAGGTGGTCTTGGCCAGAGAATCGTTCTTGCCCTTGTTGAAAATGCCGGCGAGGTTCTCCATGTCAAGGTGAAGCGACTGGATGGGCTTGTTGGCGCCGTCAGGTTGGCCGTCGAGCCAGACGCAGCGCTGGCGGACACCGTTCAGAACGGCACCCCAGTTCCACTCATGTCCGCACTGGAAGCCCAAATCGCCAATGGGAATGAAGACCTCGTCGCGCCTGGCCTGGGTGTCGCTGCCCTTGAGAATGATGTTGGAGACACAGATGGCATTGCCGCCGGGCTGGATGTCAAGAGACTTGAGGTTGAAGCCGTTGTTTGTCTTGAAACTCTGGATAGGTGCCTCGGCGTTCTTTAGGCCATCGTATAGGTCCAAACCGCCCAAGTTACGGCATTGGTCTTTGGACTCCTTGCTGTTGCCCTCGTAGACGCCAACAAACTCGGTGTTGGAGAAGTCGGAGAAGATGACGGTCGGAGGGTTGCCAGCGGCATCCTGGTTGTCTCCGATCTCCATGCGGAGAGTGTAGTAGTCTACCTCCTTGGGCTTCTGGGTGATGGCCTGCATGATTCCGATACCCGATGAAACGAGTCCCAAGAAGGTGCCGACATTGCCAATGGCGGTGCCAAGAGTAGCAACTGCTCCGATAGCGGCCATTTTGATTCAAAGAACTGGTGATAAGTGAAAGTGGTGGGTGAATATCCCTAGTGAGTGACTGAGAGCACTGAAAAGAATGAAAAGGCAACTTGTTGTTGCGGTAGAGGACTGCTGAACTGTTGTGTGATGATGAGATAGAAAAGAATCGTTCCTCGAGAGAAGTACGGTCTTCTTTTATAATTGTTCGAGATGGCTAAAATGCCCCTATCTTTCAAGCCCAAGTTAGAACACAGTGCTGTTCACCTATTGCATCCAGACTCCTGGATGAGTTCGATATTGCATCTTGGTCCATGATCCCCCGTGGCCCACCTTCTGTCCAAAGTGCCACCCCCACCAGTTGTTCTCGGGACCAGCGGTATGGCTTTAGCCTATGCTATTCTCAGCTGCCAAGCTCTAGACAAAATGGGTCTAAGAGAATAGACAAGAACATTATTGAACGACCTTAGCATGCATTCTAAGAAGACCAAAGAGCCCCATCCAAATACATGTGAAACTGCGGGAGGATACGATCAACGCAGGGACTCCCGGACACTCTCCACCCATGCAGGAGTCTTTTGGCTGTGGTCTTTGCTGGGACGATCTGCCGAGAGACAGTCAATAAATGATAGTTAAAATTTCTTGAAGTTTTGAAATTGAACATGCCTAGTTTCTAAGCTGGCAATAAGAGACAGATGCGTTTTTCTGCACAAAACGCATCAATGACAAGCGAAGCATTGTTTTCTGCAGACGTTACAGTGGCTGCACTTTCACAGCGACATGAACCACAGCAAGCAAGACTCTTCACCAAAGAATAGAAGGCTAGGAAATCTTTTGAGACAACGTCCAAGCATTATCCATGAAAATAAATCAGGTGAAGGTGGGGCTCTCAGCCCAAATGTCGGAAAGTATGCTAAGCCCTATGGGTTCTAGACTTACAGCAACCAGCATTGAAAAATAAACCTTCAATCAATGTTGGGTAAGCATTTGACCTGTCAGACGCCATCCAAGATACTTTGACTCAGGAGGCAAGCGGTTTCGACAGAATGAAAAATTCACCAATGCTCCTTGGTACGCAGGAAGTTTCCAAGGCCGATGGATGTTTACTTACCGCAAACCCCCTGACTTGAGTCTGACCGAGTACCGCTCCGGATGAACACACCTGACTCGTCCCAAGGCCCAGGCCTCACGCTACATACACGCTGGCTAAAATTTCCGGCAGTGCCGGAAAACGTCAAAATTGCTAGAGAAAGTGACTGAATGGATTTAAGATGATTACATTTGAACGAAACTTCAACAGAGCCTACACTTATGTCATAATCATTATTTTTCTGCTCTCTCCAATCTACAGTGATGAGTAAGCTCTCAGCTCGAGTCCTGCACGAAAAAAAGCCCGGCTCAGTGACTTGATTAGGTTACAAATAAACAAAAAGAGTCATTGAGTCGCCTCCTGAACTTTTGGGCAACAACTGCAATGGTACGAAAGACGGACGACCCAGAAAATTCATGACGGATGAGTAATGTCACGACTGACTGTCAGGTGCTTGTTATGGTAGGACTGCGTGGAGAGCTCCGGGGAGTGCTTATGGGGCAGGTTTCAGCCTGTAGACGAATCCATAATCCATGAATGGTTCTCTAGAACGCTGCTACCGCTCTTTGGACAGAACACCAGTCTCAGTAAGGCGTCCAATTAAAATGCGTTAAACCGAGGTGATATTGATTGAGTACTGGTAAATATAGGACTTGGTACCATGCTCAGCCTTACAAGGAAATGGTGCTAAAAGGGTGTACGCTGTATATCTGTGACTACGCCCAGGAAGCATTGACCTCGTTTGTGTTAACAAAAAAGAGCTTGGCAGACGACGCATTGTCACCATGTCATTTGAGTAATCATGACAGAACTGAACCAAGTTGTGCTCTTTGTGGTTCATCTGATACTAAATATTATTTACGAAGCAATGCAAAACGAAAACGAACCGTTATTCGATTTCTGCAGTCTTAAACGACACTTTCGAGGAACACTGCTTCTCCATCACAACAGGGCGACAACGCGGGTCCGGTGCCTTAACCCGAAACAACGGAGGCATTGCAACCAAATGGCGGCCCAATTATCCAAGGCTGACTCTGCCAATAGGCCTAGAACTACCTTATGTCATGCACCTGTCAGACACTTAACATTTGTTTGCGGAAGACAGGGTGCCAACCATGCCATTGCGTTCGGTTAACATACCGGATCATCGTAACCACACAACCAGTACAGCCCATTCTTTATTAAAAATAACACTCTGTTTCATGAGTAGTGGGCTGCCACCTCTAGCTCTAAAAAGGGGGGAAACATGCCATCCATGCCAGAAAAATGAAGAAGAGGAAAAAGAGCTGCCAGAATAAGTAACAGAGCTAACCTAACTGCATCCGTCTCTCAGCGCGCAATGATGGACTTATCCACTTCGTGTCCACGCTAAAAAGGATCCAGCAGATGGAAGTCATGCGCACAGTATCCGCTTAACAGGCGTTGATTAATACGAGTCTGGGGTTAGGTCTGATGGTATGCTAGCCGTTCGTGCGGCGATACTAACCCCATACTCTATTTTTACACGCCTTGCTGATAGGGTTCCCAGGGAATTGCGGTTTTCCGCTCACTTTGAGAGACCTTTGTAATCATTGTAGTGGTTTGCCAAGATGCCTTGTCGCCAAGAGAGGGCTTAGTCGTCGAGGAACGATTGCTCCAGACTCCTTTTTGCCTGCTTAAAACCCTGGTCCTGTTTGATGCTTGCCAGCATCAGGTAGCAGCCCCTTGTTTGCACGCGTATGCAACTACGCCTACAATGCCAGTACCAGCAAATAATTTGCTATTCAGGCATGTGGTACTCGACTGGAGGGCAGCGTGAGCAGGGTACAAAGTTTGCAAAAAGCGTACCTTGTGATATAGGTTTCTGATTTCTTAAAATCTCTCTAAATGGCACATCACTCTGAGTCGCTGGGTTTCTGTAATGATCATGAAATTACACGAGTTGTTAGCTACTGCACGTGCCCGCAGTTGGCAGCGTCGTTTTCGCGATGCAGGCCCGGCACAAATCCCAACGGCATATAATGCCAGGTAATATTCGTTGGAGGTGGGATCACCATTCTTAGCACACGCACCAAATTTCAGCCACCACGTAGCGGAGGGGTCGAGTTTTGTTAGAGCCGAGGCGGAATGTCTCGGTGAGAGGAGACTGCTGGAATGCCACGATAAAGGCAGAACACAAAATTCCTTGTGAGTGATTCGACACACATAATTGGAGCAGCTCAGCCTGAAATGGCAAAACTATCACTATATGCTGCCATGTCTGGAGTTGTCTATCCAGTTACTTATCGTGGTTGGATCTTCGCAGGCAGATCAACATCACACAAGCGGTGCAACAAAAATCATGCAAGAAATCTGTTCTTCCACCGAAGATCAGGCCCAGAACTCGAGCCCAAGTCTGTAGCTGTCTAGGCACCTGTGAGTGCCCCTACTTTGATTGCGGCGACAGTAATCGGTTATGTGGAGTACAGATTGATAAATGATGAAAAATCAGTTCGCGCGATTACATACCGACTCGTAAATTTACCTATCCTCGCTCATCTGAGTTGCCTGACTTAACACACCATACCCCGAGGTCTCTGAATGATGCCAGGAACACGATAGTGGGGCCGAAAATACTCACCTTATGTACCATTCGGCCCCACCCTAGAGCTACTATGAGAGCAGTGCCGTAGTGGTGGCTGTTGGAGAGCGACGCCACTCCGCGCGCAGCTTGATGTTCCAACTACTTGACGTCTATTTACATATATACTTGTTTTCAATTTTAATTTTTTTTCGCATATTCTACGGCCAGGCTGTGGGAATGACCGAGGCTGCCTGATCTGGTTTTTAGGTTTCCTCGGCAGCTACACGCCGCCCATGTGATGAAACCAAGCTGCACCTCTGAAGCGAGCTCTTATCGAACACACTGTTTTTGAATGTGGGTGGCAGGCCTCGCCGGCCCGTCACGTGGGCTGACGGCCGCCACCACTGGTCTTAGCCAGCCTCCACAGCCCTCTAGCCAGTTAGTTAGTTCTTCCAACCAACAACACCACTTTCCCCATTCTGAGCGTTCTGTGCCGGTTCTCGCCTATAGGTTATGAGCCTAGCGTTATTCTTTCGGAATAACGTCGTTTTACCTATTATTCTACTCGTCTGTTAATTTTCTATTGATTTACGAATTTTTGCGATTTTATTTGCTTTATTTACCTTTCTATGCGATTTTCTCGCTTTCTTTCCTTTTCGCTAACGAATTTCACTTTCTGACGCGATATTGGCTGCCTGGCGCGCACGAATATCACGTAGCACGCGACCGACCACTACAACCTACTAGTTTTCATAAACACTACGGAATTCTATTATAACAATAGACTTTTTAGTCATAACCATACTATAACTATAACTTTTACTTCGATTCCTCGTTTTTACGAGAATTTAACTATTTTAGCTTCGGTTTTTCAAACTAGCTTATTAGTTTCTTATATCTTCTATAAGTATTTATTCTTCCTTTCGATTTACTATATTTCTACGGTCGGATCTTATAATTCTACTTATTTCTCGTATTCTTACGTAAGATTCTCCTTCCTATATAATCTAACAGCACGCGTAGGTAGCAGCGAAAGTAAGCCATCTAACGTATAGATACGCCTCTAAAGCTATAGCCTTAGAGAAACGCTTATGATCGAGGTATAACTATAAGTCTATCCTGTATTATTATAATACCTTTATTTTTTACTTTAAGATGTTTTAAAACGACTTTAAGACCGTCTTTACGCCTCTTCCTTGCTTAAAAGGTAAATTTAACTAGAATATATAGCGTATGCTTATTATAGCGACCTTGCGAGGATACGACTTTGAGATATTCCTCGAGACTAACGTCCTTCGCCTTGCTAACCCTATCGCTATAAAGGAATAAAGAAAGAACCGTAACGTTACGTATAGTCTCCTTATAAACGCTAGCGAATCGGTTCTTAATAGA